CTGAAATTATCCGATAATTCAGATCGCTCAGACACCCGGATAATTATCCGGATTTCAATAGTAAACGGATAACCTAATAAACTGATATCTGATAATTATCCGGATAAACGCTTAACGGATTGGAACTCTAATGGTTAGTGTTAGGATGAGAAAGGTCGTATTATAAAATCATTATAACGGCACTTTATGGTTAGTGCTAGGATGAGAAAATTCATATTATAAAATCACACTCTTTAGGATTAGAATTTAGCATTTTGTTTAGGATGTTTGTAATATATTAAAATTTCATAAAAAAATTTATTTTTTTTGCCAATATGCCCATCACTAAACGTATATTATATCTAATTCACATAATTCACATGTCCAATATTAATTATTCAATATAGTACTTAAAATAATCTTTATATTAATCATTAAATAAAAAAGTTTAGCTGTCTTATTGACTTTTCTTTTGGTAATAGACTTTCGGTGTGAGAACTAAACGAATCTCTATAATTGTTTAATTTAAATAGCATATGCTTTTATAAAGATTTCAAATACTATAGTATTTTATTTTTTTGTCTTCGTTATTATATTCAATGTTCTGATGCATAAATTAGACTCCTCTCAACATGATACAGAACAAATACCGTATAAAAAGAACTGCGCCACAGACAGACGTGTTTAATATCAAAATTAATATAGATAAATATACTATAACTAATCACTGGTTAAAAATTCATATTTTAACTAAATAATAACCAGTAATATATAGTACAAATTATAATTTATTTACTATGTGGGATCTTTGCTAGGAAAATCACCCTTCGGGATTTTCTGATCGGGCTAATTCGGGCTAATTCGGAAAAGCTTAGACCAGAATGCTGATTCTTGTTCATATGTAAACCTATAGTTGTTAGACGAAACATTGAGGTTTCGCGCTGACGAAATGCGAAACCTAGTTTCGTCTTTCGTCAACTAAAATCTCAAATGATGAAATGATGAAAGGTGATGAAACTGGTGAAAGGTGACGAAACTGACGAAAGGTGACGAAATTGACGAAAGGTGACGAAACTGATGAGAAACAGAAGCAAGTGTAAGTAAGTGCACCACTTCTGGATATATATAAAATTTTGTCTCAAATCCCAATTCATACAGTAAGTTTGGGACAAGTTCCATGGCTTTAACTAGTCCCAAATAGTGGTTAATACCCTAGAAAGTCCCAAAGCCCCCAAACTAGTTAGGTTTGGATGGCTTCTACATTTATGTTTATATAAGACTTAAAACATACAATTATATCAATTTTAATAAGTAACCTAAGAAGTAATTTATCAATTAAGTAAACTAGCACAATTAAGATTATTCCACATATTTCTGTATATCGATATCCTGCTAAATCAATAAAAGACTTTTTATTAATAAATTAGTACAGATAATACGTAAAAATTAATAAGAGGTACATATATACATTGTTTACAAATCTTCAATTATAAAATTTCCATAATTGGCTTTTCAAAACCTAAATATACAAGCTGGGTCAAGTCAATAAATATCTTTGGCATTAAAGATAAATACTAATGGCTTATTTGGAATTTTTGCTAGGAAAATCACCCTTCAGGATTTTTTGATTGGGCTAATTCAGAAGGTTTAGACCAGAATGCCAGTTCTTAATCATATGTAAATCACCTTTTGCTATATTTCTTCGATAGTTTATTAAATAAATTGTCAAATCAGTAAAGTAAAAAGATGTTTTACATATTGTCACAGGTGAAATATGGTAAGTCAGTCACTTCACAATCCAAAAACTTGCATAATCTATGGTAAGTAACCTTATGAAAGAGGTGTGTTAGATTTGGCTAGATAGCAATAAAGGAATTAGTTACTTTGGGTCAGCAATGTTAGATCACATGTGCAACAACTTATCAGTTTATAACTTTAGAGATCAAAAAGTGTAATTTAGCGCAATAGTATTTTATATAGTGTTATGAGCAAATGTATTTTAATAAGCTTGGGACTTAATTATTACTGAAGCAAAAAAGAAAACGAGACATAATTTTTCTCAGAGTGATAACGCCTTTATTTATAATAAAGTTTTACTTAGTAACGAATATAATAACTATATCTTTGATATCCATTAAATTGATTATATTGATTTTAACCATGATATCTTTTATAACTGATAAAACTATTAAAACTGGTATAGCTATTATATCTATTATCTTTATTATACTGGTTATCTGGGATATATCTATTATCCTTGATATATTCAATATATCGCCGGTAACTCTTTTTATAATAAGGGATTGTCATAGCCAAAATAATGTGAATTGGCGCAGCACCTTTAGGTTATGTTTTTCCAACCTCACAATATGAATAAGAACTGACATTCTGGTCTAAAATTTTCCGAATTAGCCCGATCAGAAAATCCTGAAAGATAATTTTCCTAGCAAAGATCCCATTTGCTATTTATAATTTCTGTAATTGGCTTTTAAACCTAAATATATACACAAGTCAATAAACATCTTCAGTATTAAATAAAAATAAAAAGCCTCATTAATGATTTATCGACAGGTTAAATATCTAAAATTATAGGGATAATTTTATTAATTTATTGATAGCTTCATCAAAACCAAAATTTTAGTGGTAATTTTTTAGTGAGAGAATTAGGGATTCACTATTATCATAAAGACTCATCAATCCAGGGGTTTTTTTTTCTTTTAGCGAGAGCGCAAGGGGGTTTTTTTTTTAGTGGGAGCACTAGGGTTTCATCATTTGAAATTTGGGTTTCATCTTTCGTCAGCAGAATTTGAGGTTTCGTCTTTCATCAGGGGTTTCGTCATTTTGAGGCTTAGGTTTTATCTTTCATCACCAAGCAAAAAAAGTTTCGTCTAACAACTATAGTTGTACTCCATTTCACTATGTTCCTGTTTTATTACGTTCCTGGTACACTCCGTTTCACTACCCTATAGGAAAAATGTACTGTAATTGTACGGGTTGGCGCAGAATAGCACAGGTTTCGGTGGCACAGATCAAGCCCGGATCTTGTAAATAAGAGGCTCGAATTGGTACCGATTTTTGGCTCATGTTGGACCATATACCAGTGCCAATTGGACCATTAATGACTCAGGTTTTGCAATACTTTACTAGTCCAATTGGTACGAGTTTTGGTACGGGTGTATGTAAATTCACATACCACTAAATTTCAAATATTCATACTAAATCATAAATTACATCAATAATCATCAATATAGTACGTATTTGAAATTAAGTAATTGCATATGTATAAAATTCTGCAAGGAAATTTTTTCGTTAAGATACCCAGAACAATTTTATCAGTGAAATTTTGAGATATTGCATTTTTTTTACAGCTATTTTCATTATTCCTGGGACATCTATAAAAAAACTTGCTGAAAAATTTTCAGCCAGTAATTTTTTCGGCATAATAATACTGTAATATATACATAATTTAAAATCAGGTAGCTAATTAATATAAATATAAAATTACGTACATCTCTGGTTGAATTCAAAAAATATAGTATTTTCAAACCACATTCACTGGCAAAGAAAAAAATTTAGAAGGCCTATCAACTCGAAAAATTGCAAACCACTTAGGTGTTAGTAGGTCTTCTATAAGTCAGGTTCTTGTGCATTTTCAAAGATATGGTTGTATCGATAAACTTCTATCGCTTTCAGGAAAACCACATTCTTTAAACATAAATGATATAAATTATCTTCAAGTTTTAATGAAAGAAAACCCAGACTGGTACTTGTATGAATTACAATCCGAGATGAAACTTTGGTTGGGACATAATATTAGTCTTACAACTTGGATATATGCACAAAAAGGTAATATTTTATATATTTATACATATTTTTATTTTATAAACTCTTAATTTTAATTTTATAGATTTCAAAACTTGCAAAAGAAAGAAATGAAGTTGATAAAATCAAATTCATTTTACAAATATAGCAGTATACACCAAGTCTGTTAGTTTTTCATATGAAACTACTTATGACAGAAGAATATTATCTTGACGCTATGGCTGAAATTTTTCAGAATATATACAATAGTAAAGCTTTGTCATGGGAATTTTATAAATTTCTAATCTTTCTTTGTCTTTGTCAATATGTAGCAAATCATTTCTAATAAAGTTAAGCATCTTATTGTTCTGATCGTTCTAATTGTTCTGATCATTCTTAGCATGCCCCAAATCTTTTTTACCACATTCAGGTTGTATTTATAAGATTTAATAAGTTAAATTGATCTTTGATTCTATAATTCAATGTTTGCATTGTTGACAAGTCAGATAACTCAAAAGTATTTGCTATATAGATTCTAGAGAATTTTTAATTGTTAGATCTACTGTGAGTTTTAATTGTGTTGATCATAATTTTTAATGCATTTTTGATACATATTAATTAAGTCTTGATTTTTTGGAATCTCGACTTTAGTTGAATTTTTAGTGAATTTTTAGTCCAATCGGCGAATTCTTGATCATATCTAACTTTTTTAATATTAGCACCTATTTGTGTAATATATTTACTATAAAAACTAATTTGATATCCGGAGCCTTTTTTATATTTCTTGTCAAGTTTTATTGGTTGACAAGAACAATCTTTCCATAAAGTTTCGCACAAGTTAAACACGCTAAACATATTGGGCAAGCGTTCAAACTTTGATCATATAAAATTTATATGATCGAAATTCAGTTTTCCTTGGCGTCACTCATATATATATATATCATAAGTTAGAGTTGAATATACCGTAAATAAACCAAAAAACACTGGTTGAAATATAATTATTATCTTAATCAAACAAATTCTAAGTTAATTTAAATTTGGCTTACTTACAAAAAAATATATACACTTTTCTAAGCGAGTATCGCGTTTGAATAATGACATTAAATTTCATAATATGATTTCTCTTAACAATCGGCATTCTTTCATCTATTGCAAATTCGGAAAAGACGGTATTTGTTGATCCAAATGACCCCTGGCAAGTATTTGAAGGTTGGGGAACAATGTTATCCTGGTGGACAAATGTAATCGGTGGATTCCCAGAAGATTATAAAAATCTTACTGCAGATTTGGTATTTGATCCTGAAAAGGTACTTATAATTTTTTTCTTGTTTTAAAATTTATAATTTTTAAATCCTTCTAAGAAAAATTGACATCTTTATTCATCGCTTGTTAATAATCATTGTTATATTACTCAAACATTTTTAAACCTTCAATATTCACTAAGCAAATGCAGAATTTTTCGAATGTAATTTATGAATTTGATTAGTCATATTTCAAAAATTAATTAATTACTGATATTCACATACAGTATTAATTTATCATTCAACCTATCAATAGTTTTTATTTTTTAATATATTGACAAAACGTTACGAAGTAAATTAAACTTTATTTATAGAATAGCCTCTATTTCATTTCTTTCATTTGACGCTTATAATTCAAATTCTGATTTTAACGCATCAGAAACACGACGTTTTGATTAATTTTGAAACATTTATCAAATGATTTAGAGAGCTTAAAACATTATATTTTTTCATTAATTTCAATTTCAATTTAATATAAAAATAGGGATTGGGATTAAATGTAATTAGATTTGTTATTCCTGGAGGAGATAATCCAACGCATAACCACATTAGACCTGAAGGTGAAGTATCGGGTTATTGGCCATGCTTAACATGTAATTTTGATTGGAGTGCTGATGAACATCAAAGATGGGCTTTATTTGGTATGTACGTCTAAAATAAGAGTTTATTCCTTTGTTCATTGTTTATGACATGTATTAACATGCAACGTATCTATAGCTTCTCGGGAACGTGGTGCTAATATCTTTGAGGCAAACTCTGCTAGGTATGCTATACCTTTTTTTTTTTAAAAAAAAAATAAATGAATAAATAATATAGAAACTGCTAATACCTCCAAAATTTTTAGTCCCCCATATTGGATGACTATAAGGTAAATCCCCCAAAAAATAATAAAATTGTTTAATTATCAAAAAATAGATTTCCTAATAAATTATTTTGAATTATACTTTTTGTAGTAATTGTTCTTCTGGAAGTGTTGGTGGCACCTCAGATAACCTCGATCCCTTGTACTATGATGCATTTGCAAAATACTTGACTAAAGTAGTGAGTTGGTATAAAGAACAAGGGATTACTTTCAGAACCATATCACCATTTAATGAACCTTCAGCTGGCTGGTGGAAAGCATTAGGTATGATATGAATTTTTTTTGTTGATGATTTTTTAAGTAAAATACATAATATATTACCCATTAAACAGGATACCAGGAAGGGTGTCATTATAGCTGTTCTACAATGAATGAAATTGCTATAAAAGTAAGAAACGCCTTACTAAATTTAAAAAAAAAGAAATTTTCATTAAATATATCTTTTAATTTAGGTTGCAAATAATCTTATGGCAATGGGCCTAAATGATACATCCATTTCAATTTCAGATGAATTTTCAATTGTTCAGGAAATTTTTACAATAAATTGCATTGACAATACTACGAAAACATATGTCAGCCAATATAATACCCATGGTTATGGAGGTAGTAAAAGAAAAGAGCTATATAATATTACAAAACAAGATAAAAAAAGCTCTGGATGAGCGAATAGTATGTATTGATTTTTTTTATAAATATTTATAGAAATAAGCTAAGCTTTTTTTTTTATTGAATTGTTAAATAGTGGACTTGCTACAACATTAGATATGTCTGCAAGTATTACACTCTCTGAACAAATTCTAATGATATAAGAAACTTGAGGGTAAGATGATATATAAATTAAAAATTGCTTATTTATATAATTAATTTTAATGACATTATTATTTTATTTATTATTTGGAAAGACTAATGCATGGATTTATCTTCAAGCAGTTCAAGATGTAGGTTGCATATATTTATTTTAAATGCATTAACATATATTAACTTAATATCATGCATTACCACATTCAATAGGACCCTCAGGGCTCTAATGGATGGGGCTTAATTGGTGTTTCATATACTAATTCATCAGAACTTCCAAAAACGCATCTTGATTTCTATGCATTCAAACAATATACCAAATTTATTCGTCCAGGTATATTTTTATACAGTATATATATTTTAAAATACTCGTAAATTTTTATAATCTGTTAAAAAATTTTTAGAATATCAAATTATTTTCTTCAGATGACGATGATACTCTTGCAACATACAGTGATAAAGACCAAAAACTTGTCATTGTTTGCACAAATAAGGGTGCAACTCAATCTTGGAATTTTAATGTTAATATGTTCAATATAAGTAATATTACTGCTTTTCGTACATCTAGCAACAACGAAATGCTTACTCCATTGCTAAATATACCACCTATCAATAATGGAAGTCTAATATATTCACATCCATCTGATTCTATTACTACATGGGTTTTTGATGCTATTCCAGACTTATAATTAAGTAGAATTATTGCATTAAATAATAATATAATAATATTGCAGAACCTTTGATTTTTGTAACTAAATTATTACAATATATTGTATTTATAAAATTGTTATAAAATAATTACAATTAACTTATTTAATACTTCGTTAATATTTTGTATTAATGTTGTACCTATATTACAAAAAGATTATATAAATTTTTTATCAATTATTACACAAAATAGTTTTCTGGAATACACTAATCCAACTAAACAAATCAACACCAACACCAACAAGACAACTTTTCAAAAGAGGTTTTTAGATTTGGTTAGTAGAATGGTTCTAAGTAGGGTTCCGCAGTTTGATTTGATTTGATTTGATCAAATATTTGATTTCAAATCAACTTCAAATTTGATTTGTTCAAATTAAATTCGGATAATTATTTGATTTGATTTGAATTATCTATCTTTAAATTATATTAAACTTTCCGGAATAAAACGAATCTGATTATTGGTCAATTAAGATCATTGTGATCTGTGTTACTTAAACATATAATACGTATCATAATGCAGTTAAAACTGTGAAAATTTATCATGACTAATTTATAAAGATAGACTAGTCTACAAAACTAATAATTTTCTGTTTCAATTCAATAAAAGTTCAGGTTGAAGTTACGCTCTTAACTAATAAATCAATATAATCTTTTATTATTTCTAACGAGTATTATTGCTTCATTTTTCAATATTTTTCAAAACGTTAAGACATACAGCAATATTAATAAAAACGATTATTAATTAATAAGGATCATAACATTCTTTCTGTAACTTTTAAAAGATTTCAATTAACCAATTTTAGTTCTGTAATATATTCGTCCATTGAAGGTTTGTCATTTTCGTTCACATTTTAAACATCTAAAAAAGAATGGCCTATGTGTCAAATATTGCAATTTACACAGATCAGTATGGCGTTCGTACAGTATGAGGTATAAACTGAAATTTGTCATACTGATCCGGTGTTATATATTACTGTATTAGGCTTAGAAACTATCGTTAAATTATATATATATATACAGTAGTATGGTATAATTTTTTAAAATAGGTACCTTTTATCATGGTGATACTATGTCATTTATTACTGTATTAGTTTTAGAATTTATCATTATAGTATATTTATTCACCTTTTACCATACTATTTTGGTATCCATATTATTATATGTACAATCTTCTGTAATCCCACTTTTGATTATCCTATATCTTTTAGGTTTAGAGATTAACATAGCTCAGCACAGATTTCAAAAATCCTATCTTAATATATTACCAGAAAACAAGCTTTTTGTTTTAGCAATGAATTTTTTGCAAGATATTAATCATGCCTGTTGATTTAAATGATGCTATAACAAAATTTTTGCAGAATTCTTTTTTAGATTTACACGCACATTTAAATTATAAGATATTGGTCATGCAACGATTAATATCATGAAATTTGGTTTGTCGGAGCAAATGGTTGGCTGACATGTG